CCTGAGAACATCTGTAATAAAGAATAGCCTATAAAAATATCTATATGCATCTTGCATACTTATAGGTCACATAGATGTTAAAGTATCTGGGTCCTTTATAGATTACATTGCCCTATCTTTGCTTGTAGATCTTTCCAGCAAGGTCTGTGTGATTATCAAATTCATCCTAGGAAACTTGGGATGTTAGAGGAGAAATGAAAGAACAAAATGAAAAATACAAACCCAAACATAAAACGTCATGTCTAGAAAGCAACACAATTACTGTTTTGATTTGTAGGGTTGTATGGTAATTAGAGCAATAAATTTTATCATAAAAATATTAAACATAGGGTAGACATGGTGATTTTAGGTATGTGACACAATTTGTTCACTTTTACTAGCCACATTATGTCCCATATGCTCTACTTGTACTTGGTCTAACAAAGGTGGGACCCCAAATAATTTTATCACATTATCAGAAATTCATTCTCTGAAATTTTAAATCAAATTAAGTCACTGAAATAAACCCATTCACTTCTAGAAATATCTAAGCAAGATGGAAAGCAGAATTTATTGTTGAAATACCAACTCTGTTTTTAATGCTTAACAAGCTCAGGCCCCCTGGTGCTTCTTCCTCAGAGGAAAAGTGAAGCTTTGGCCAGCCCACCAGCAGGGACTTCAATAAAAGCAGCTTTCTTTGCTCAGTAAAACCAATGCAAAGGCAGTCTGTTGGAAAACTGATGCTTTTGTAAAGTGGAAAACTCAGCAGAAGGATGAAATTGTTCCATTTCAGGTAGAAAAGGCTCTTTACACAGCCTTTGCATCCATTGGGTCAAAATTGAAGTTTTTAGTTTTATGAGACACTGAAGGGTGAGATTAAGGCTTTACTAGCTTTGACGCCCCTACTGTGTGGAATCTGAGAGAAAAGGCCTCTGTTAGGCCACATCTTCTACTCAAATTATTAGATTTCTGCTCCAATCCCACAAAAGCGACAATGAATTTTCAATGTCTTTCATTTCCTTTATAGGTATGGAACGTATATAACCATTAACTACTAATCTTTAATTGTGATGATTTAAAATAGATTTGATTAAACCCAAATAACTCATTGAGCACAAATTCCTAATCTTCCAGTTTATCTGCTTCATTGCTTTAATCGCCTATCTACACATACACCTGTTCTGCCAGCCCATCATGACCTCCAGCCCATCACCTGAAAATCTCTGCCACTTCTCTTACTATTGAGTTTAAATACCAACATCCACCATTTCACTTTCTTGCCCTACAATAATCCACAGTTCCTCTCTATCCAAAATCCACCTGACCAGAAAAACATCAGTCTTACTCTTGACAGAGATTCCTACCTCAGCACACATTTGGCCCCCCTCCCACCTTACCGCAATCGAAGAGGTGACCCATCCTATTGTAGCCAATTCAACCATCTATTCAGAAAACCTGAATCATTGGTGGTGTCCTTTCCAACTCTACCTCTCTACACATCTGCATTAAAAAGGCTCAGGTTTCTTAAAAAAAATTTCAAAAAAATACTTCACTAGCCAATATAACTCTTATTCTATTTGTTTTTTAAATTTCACAAATATCTCAAAATAGTAATCTATGATAGTTTTTCATTTCTTCACCTTCCACTCTAACTCTTATTCCATTACAGTCTGGCCCCCCTTCTCCAGCAGTTTTTTTACAAACCATTAGGGCATTTTCTGTCTTTGTCACTACTGTATCCCCAGAGGCAGAGGACATACTTGGTATCATTTCACTTTCAAAAAAATCTAGTTAACTGATGGATTAATTGTATTAACTACTGATGTTAAATCATGTGTAATTGAGATATAGAACTACACATCTCTTGTTATCAATGTCATTTTTGAGAACTATTAGGTCACTTCTCAGGCAGGGAAACTGCTACTCAATGTGTTCTCATAAACAGGATAAAATAGACTGGTTGTATGAAGACAGGAAACAGGGAAGGTAAAAACTATTGAGCATAAGCATCTAAACTCCAGTAGGCAGAGACTAAGTCTTTCTTACTAACACAGTATCTTTGGTGCCTACCAGAGTGCTTTTGCATTATAGGTGTTCACAGATATTTGTTGAATAAATAAGTAAATGCTTAAATAGAATGGAACAAGTATCATGCATCACACATTAATTTGTTATATAAATGATCATAGTTAATGCTCTCAATATTTCTAGAAGGACTTTTAATCGGGAATCTGGGACTTGATGAGGTTTAAAAAATCTTATCCAGATTCTGGAACCAATATATGCCTGACTCTGTCGTCTATACTTTTTTTTCCTGCACCATACTGTTATCCATTACACATGCTGACTTCGTTTATCTTAGGCTCAAAAATCTCCAGGCAGTAGAAAAAATTGAAGTTTCATACAAACTCTAACCTTTGACTCCTTCATCTACGGAGCTTTGTATAAGCCATTGGCGGGAGATTATTGTTTGACATGTGAAAAGCTTAAAGAACAAGCTAAAATTTAATATTGTCCTGATTCATTTATACTTGATTTTTCAAATTTTGCTTAAGGTAATGATTTGTAATTTTAAATTTAGAAAGAATTGACCATGCCGCACATTAATAAGTACCACTCCATAAAGAAAAGTAATGAACACAAATTAAACTTGAGTAAACCTTGGAAGGAAAATCATCTCAAAAGAGAACTGCATCTTAAAACAGATATGTAAAAAAGGCAGTGACACAAAATTATTCACTTCATAATGAAGTTTAATAATAATAATGGCCATTTATGGAAATTATGACAATCCTAATCATTATGGAAATATTTTAATACCTTTCGTATTCATGACTTCATGCACATGAGATAACAATTACTAACTTAAAATCAATTGAACAATTATGTCTATTGGAGTTGTTCTAAAAGAGAATTATATTCTTTCTAGCTCTCGTCTCCTTTAAAATTATACTGCTTTATTTACATTACTAGAAACCAAGAGCAAGTCAAAGAAATAATTATAATAGAAAATTTCAATTCTATCTTGTCTTAATGCATGTTTTATAGATAATTATAGGTATTTGATCTCATAATCTGATTCATCATTGCTGGTCTCAAGAAATAATAGATGTTTTAAAAACCAGAAGTTCTGATTAACATAAAATTGTAAATATTGGTGCCATATTTGATTAAACAGTTTATTTATTTAAAATAAACATATTTTAAAATAAATTTAAAAAATTTATGTTTACATTTTCTCTTAGTTTCCCTTCTCAGGTTACATTTTGAAAATTTCATCGTTCTTACAGATTTAAAAGATAATCTATATTGTTATAGCCGTTATTATGCTATCCAATATTCAAGAAAAGATCATGAAGTGTTTGTGCATTACCTTTCTTACCAAATGTTAGCAAAAGCCATGATACATCCATCTTGGCTTTCTTTTCACCCTGATTTTTTTTATCGAGTTTTAACAATATTTTGCTAAAATTTTTATTCCCATCAGAGGAAACTACAATTAATTTATAAATGTAATATCAATCAGAATATTTTGCCTTACATGGCTTATAAAAAGTAAAGAAATGTTAAGAGGTTGGTATTTTATGCACCCGGTCTCATAGCTTTTGTATAGATAATACACTACCAAAAAGTGAATTATTAGAAAGACACATATCCACTATAATGTGCTCCTCGATGTAACTGTTCACTAGGGGGCTTCGTGGTAGGGGAATGATAATTGGTAGGTATGTTTACGGACCACTGTTCTATCTTCCAAACATACACTGGCTCAGAGTGATAGCTTCCTTCCACTTTTTAAAAATTAGTGATACTCATCTGAATTAGTAACCAAATATACATAGAAATACAAGATGAAATCACTGATGCTAGAGCCCTGGAACAGTACAGAAGCATAGTAAGTGCTCTATTCTTGTAGAATAGAGAAATGTCATAAACATTATAAAATGGAGCAGGGTTCATTGTCAGAAACCTCAGGAATAAACACTGAAATGAGATGGCTTACCTGCTCCGGACGTGATGATGTTCCCATCCCCCAGTGGAGGATGTGACGAGGTGGGAAAAGGAATTCGAATGAGAGAAAAGCAGCTAGAGGAAGCTCACCTTAAAAAAGGGGGCTGGAGGGAGGAGGAAAATGGAGAATTGCTTCATCAGTTCCTTTAACCTACCACCTGCACATCGCTTCCAGTATTACTTCTGCGGAATCTGGTGGGTGGGGCATTGTAACTGTTAAAATCAAAAACAACTGGAGGTTAGCCTTGAAAATTCCCACAGCTAACAAAACCGGGTTAGTCTCAAATACGAAGCTTAATTTAGCTTATTTTGCAAGACTAACTCATCTCTTGCTTATGCCTCATAAGCAAAACTTAAGCTGTTTCCCAAAATTGATGAGATAACCACTAACCAATTCCCAATCACTTAAGAAAACTCTAATATTATAACTAACCACTGTGAAGAATAATCAGTCGCTACCTCCTCCCTATAGAAGCTGCTTTACAAAAATATACCTCTGAGCCTCATTCCGTGTTTGGTTTGAGTGCCCCTGGTTCAGGAATGCTATTTCTGCTGTGTGCACAATGAACTTTTACTAATGAGTGGTGGGGTGATTCACTGGTTTTACTTCCACTATTTCTAAACTTTTTTTTAAAAAAAGATTTTATTTATTTATTTAACAGAGAGAGAGACAGCAAGAGAGGGAACACAAGCAGGGGGAGTGGGAGAGGGAGAAGCAGGCTTCCCGAGGAACAGGGAGCCCGATGCGGGGCTTGATCCCAGGACCCTGGGATCATGATCGGAGCCAAAGGCAGATGCTTAATGACTGAGCCACCCAGGTGCCCCTGTTTCTGAACTTTTGACCTAATGTAGGGTTCCAACTTCCTAGAGTAGCTATGCAGAGCGCAGAGGAGCAGGGTCTCATTCTGAAGTCATTCACTGTGTCATCATTTAGGGAAACAGCATCTCTAGGTAGAGAATGTACAACCCAATGAAATGAACCTCGACTTGGGAAATCTTGGATTTTCGAGCTAGTCTGTTGGGAAGGGGCTAGGAAAGTGCTGGGTGCCTGTAGACTTGGCTCCCTTTTGTTCTTGCAGCATTACCACACCCTGGCTGCACATGAGAAGCGTTTCAGGTGGGGGCGAGTTAAAAAATATAGCACTGCAACAGGCCAGATGATTTAACGATGTGTGAGTATCTCCTTTTTCTTTTTCTTCCTGTATAATTAATATACAGTGTTATATTAGCATCAGGTGTGCAATATACTGGTTCAACAATTCTATACATTAGTCAGTGCTCGTCGTAAGTGTACTCTTCATCCCCATCACCTGTTTTGCCCATCCCCCACACCCGCCTCCCCTCTGGTAACCATCAGTGTGTTCTCTACAGTTAAGGGTGTGTTTCTTGGTTTGCCTCTTATTTTCTTTGTTTGTTTGTTTTGCTTCTTAAATTCCACATATGAATGAAATCATACGGTATTTGTCTTTCTCTGATGGCTTATCTCACCTAGCATTATATTCTCTCAATCCATCCATGTTGTTGCAAATGGCAAGATTTCATTCTTTTTTGGCTGAATAATATTCTATTGTATATATGTATATACACCACATCTTCTTTATCCATTCACCTATCGATGGACACTTGGGCTGTTTCCATAATTTGGCTATCATAAATAATGCCGCAATAAACACAGGGGTGTATACATCTTTTCAAATTAGTGTTTTCATTTTCTCTGGGTAAATACCCAGTAGTGGAATTGCTGGATAATTCTATTATTAATTTTTTGAGGAACCTCCATACTGTTTTCCACAGTGGCTGCACCAGTTTGCATTCCCACCAACAGGCACGAGGGTTCCTTCTTCTCCACATCCTCGCCAACACTTGTTGTTTCTTGTGGTTTTGATTTTAGCCATTCTGACAGGTGTGAGGTGACATCTCATTGTGGTTTTGATTTGCATTTCCCTGATGATCAGTGATGTTGAGCATCTCTTTGAATATTTCTTAATAAATACTCCAAGTAATCTTATTTATTTTTAATTTATTTTTCTTCAAGCAATTTTAATATGAAGCTAGAGTCAAGAACCAAAGCGGTGACATATAGTTCTCTCAGAGGCTGTAGGAACAACCAGAATGGGGGAACTTAATAGAACGCTTGCCCACAGCAGGATCGGAGAATTGCCATTATGGGGAGCATCAGTCGTTCCTGATTTTTCCATGCTTCTCTTCTGAGTACCTTAGCATATAGTAGTGGTTTCTAACATGTGATCACCAGACCAGCAGCATCAGGGTCACCTGGGAACTTGTTCGAAATGCAATTATTAGGCCTCATCACAGAAATACCCAATCAGTAAATCTGGGGGTGGGGACTGGTAATCTATGCTTTAACAAGCCTTCTGGGTGCTTCTGGCAACTCACTAAAACTAGAGAAACATTGGCATAAGTAAGATGGTAATATAACCCAGCTAAGTTAAGTGTAATCAAGACAATAATTTATTTCTTCAGTACTTGACTAGAGCCTTAAACTGAGGACTAGCATGGGTTCGTATGTGGATGGCAGTGGGACTTAAGGCAGGAGAACAATAGTGGGGGGGGGCAGGTAGGTAAGAGTCAGCTGATCTACCTGCTTCCTCTCACATGGAAATTTTCTTTCCTATTTGAGAAGCTGTACATCCAGTACGTTTTGATGTTGCACTTTAGTTGGTATCTCCAACCAGATCTGGATGTATGAGGAAACACTGAGGAACAAGTCAATAGAAATAGATGATTTGAATTCCTCATATGAGGAATTCTTGATCTCAGGAAACTGAGTGTTGCTGGAGTGATGGGGGGTGGGAGGGATGGGGTGGCTGGATGATTGACATTGGGGAGGGTTTGTGCTATGGTGAGCGCTGTGAATTGTGTAAGACTGATGAATCACAGATCTCTACCTCTGAAATAAATAATAAATTATATGTTAAAAAAAAGAAGATAGCAGGAAGGGAAAAATGAAGGGGGAGAAATCGGAGAGGGAGAAAAACCATGAGAGACTTTGGACTCTGAAAACAATCTGAGGGTTCTAGAGGGGAGGGGGGTGGGGAGGACGGGTTAGCCTGGTGATGGGTATTAAGGAGGGCATGTTCTGCGTGGAGCACTGGGTGTTATAAGCAAACAGTGAATCATGGAACACTACATCAAAAACTAACGATGTAATGTATGGTGATTAACATAACATAATAAAATTTAAAAAAAAAGATGATTTGATAAGTGTTAAAGGGAAGGAGGAAGAGAGGCGGCACAGAAGCAGACACTGGACCAGAAGTTAGAAGACTAATTTTAGTAAAATAGGCAGCTCAATTATGTCAATCCTAGGAGAGTTTCTCAGTTGGTAATGATGCTACTTATAGCAGTAAACATGGAACAAAACAAGCACTTTGTGAAGGTAGCTCTGGGACAAACAGCAAGTTTTGCTGATGATAGCCAGAGATCCCTTGTCATAGTTAGTAAATTAAAAGTGTTCCCCTGGGTTCCATATATTCATTATCGTGAATCCATCCCCTGCAAATGCAGACAAATCCAGTCCCACGATGCACTGTACTCTGTCAGTGGCTACTCATGTGTGATATTATTTTCCAGGTGATAGAAAGACAACAAGCTTAATGCAATTTTGTTACCAAGGTTGCTTCTAACTTTTTAATTTCTAGTTCATGGGAAGGCAACATGATTCCAATAACTTTTTCTTCACTGCTTTTCTTTCACTTCAAACCTGGGTTTGAATACAGCCTCCTCTGTGTTACTTAATGTCACGGGATTTTAAATTTCTCAGCTGTATGGTGGGAATGATAACATACCATCAGCTGGGGGGGGGGCCTGGGTGGCTCAGTCTGTTAAGTGCCTGACTCTTGGTTTCTGCTCTGGTCATGATCTCAGGGTTGTGAAATCAAGCCCTGCATCGGGCTCCACGCTCAGTGCAGAATCTGCTTGAGATTCTCTCCCTCTCTCTCTCTGCCCCTCCCCTGCTCACACTCTCTCCCTCTCTCTCCAAAATAAATAAATTAAAAAAAAATACTCTCAGCGGATTTTATATGATACCATATTTGTGCTATACCCAAGACAAGGCATGGTACATCTTCAATTAGCGCTCAATTAGTAGAAGCTGTTTCCTGTATATTACCTCTGTATATTATTTTAAAATTCATCACTGCAGCCTGGTGAAACAATCACCTGGTCTACCTATGTCAAGCAGGAGCTGCAGCTAGCCATCTGACTCACCGTAGAGTTTGTCTTCCCCATTGAGGCCCTCCAGGGAACAGAAAAGCCCATGTGAGTATAGCCAGGTGGACTGGGCTTTACGCCTCCAATGACTGCTCATAAATGCAGACCACCCTCATGCATTCACACATACACAGAGTGGGACAACTTTTTTCATTGGACTGATGCAAATCCAAATGCTTCTCTTAGCTTCCAAGTGATTTTGAGTTTTGTTATTCATGGTTATCGAAGCTGCAAATATTTTGTGACAGTGTTCTCGTGGCTTAACCAAACCAATGTAATACTAATCCAAAGCAAGTTCAACAGCAGATCCCAAATTGGAGTAGCCCATGTCCACAGTGAGATAGCACGAACCCTAGATCAGTAACCCTTGTATCGGTTATAATGAAAAACTGATAAGCTACATCCTAGCTGGACAAGAAGGAGATGTAGGGTTGCCAACACTTCTCACTGTGCCTGGATTAATCCTACTATTGGGGTGTAACAAGCCATGAGAAAAGAAGGTTAAACAGTCATCTGAAATAAGGCCCACCGCTCCCCTCTGGGGCTTATTCAGTAGGCTGAGATCTGAGGTGCATGCTGAGGTCAGCGGTGCTGGTTGGCCTCATCCTGCTGATTGGAATTCCGTTGATAACAGCACTAATCAAGTGTTGTGCAAAAACTGAATGCAATTGGTCTCAGCCTTTATAAGAGTATCAAATCCAAGTGGCAGAGCAGTAGCATTTTGGTGGTTCCCCATTGTGCAAGAAATTACAAATTCACTGGTTATACAACATACACATTATCTTAGAATTCTGGAGGTCAGAAATCTGACATGGGTCTCACTTGGCTAAAGCCAAGGTGTTGATAGAGCTGCATTGTTTTTTGTAGGTTCTAGGGGAAAAATTGTTTCTTTAATCAGAGAGTGTTGGAAGAAGTTAGTTCCTTGAGGTTGTGGGATGGAGCTCCCTATTCCCTTGTTGGTTGTCACTGAAGAGACTTTCTCAGGTTCTAGACACTGACTGCAATCCTCGGTCTGCGGTCCTGTATATCTTAGGCTTATGGCCCCCTTCCTCCATCTTCAAAGATGGCAATAGTGGGTCAAGTCCCTCATGTTCTACATCTCTGATGAACACTCTTGCCTTACTTTTCCACATTTAAGGACCCCTGTGATTACATGGGCCCCATGGAGATATTCCAAGATAATCTCCCTATTTAATGTCAGCTAATTAGCAGTCTTAATTCCACCTGCAAATTTTCTTTTGCCATATAAAACAATACATTCTGAAATTCCAGGGATAGAGTGTGGACATCTTTGGGGCCATTATTCTATCATTAGCATACAGTTATAAAAATGTAAACTTGGCCAAGAATATATAGGACTGATGGGTCAATTGTTGAAAGAGGCAGTTGACTATGACCCTGAACATCCCTGCACATCATTGCAGAATGCACTCTGAAGTAGCTAGTCACGTAGGTAGCTAAGTTGGTCAAGGTGACCACCACAAGGTGACTCCTTTACTGCTATTCAATCTCTAGGAAAGGGCATCTGGCTCAGCCCTCATGCTGCTGAGAGCGTGTGGAGCCACCTCTGGTCCATACATCACCCAGTGGGACTTGGAGACGAGGGAACTAGCCCAACCATGCTGGTACTTCTGCCTTTTGCTGTGTTGTCACGCTCTTGCTCTGATCCACTGAATTTTGTGGTCTACTTGCAGTACATGTGGAGTACTGGCAAATGGATCTGTTTATTAACCATTTCAGTGCATTGAATTGTGTCCCTAAAAAGATACGTCTAAGTCCTAACTCCAGGAACTATAAATGTGACCTTACTTGGAAATAGTCTTTAAAGATGTAATTAAGGATTTCAAGATGAGATCATCCTGGATTTAAGATGTGTTCTGAATGCAATGACTGATGCCCTTATAAGAAAAAGTCAGGGATATTTGAGAAACAGAAACATGGGGAAGAATGTCAGGCAGAGATGGAG